TCAAAGTTGCTACTGCTTTCTAATAGAAGCGGCAACACCGCATGATCGAAAATATTTTAGTTGGCTAGAGAATGTCCGAATATGCCCTCCATTAAATTTTCAAAGTGATCCGTTGTCTGGTTCACCAGAAACGTCTAATGTGCCATCCACCGTGAATCAGCCTGTATGTTTATTGGCAATTATTTTTTGTATAAAAAATTTCCATGTTTGAACTTTGATATCAAAATAACTGATCAAGGAATAGAGAGGGTTCAGGAAATAAAATATTTTGGATTCGTAATTGATACCCAACTGAAATTTGATGAACATATAGACTATATTTCGAAAAAAATCGTCAAAAAAATTGGGTTTAGCGTATAGCTTCATCATTATCTCATTATAGTCGGATAACAGTGTACAATATTATAATATTGCCTCATTTCAATTATTGCAGTTCTATAATTTACACGAACATATCCAATTATGGCAGACTACAAATTCTACAAAATGAAGCAATGCGTATTATCCTTGGTTGCAACAGATATACGAATATAACATCAATGTTAGATGTCCTCAGCTGGATCAATGTGAAACAAAATTATTATATTCAAACAATGAATTTCATCTTCAAAATGATAAATAATTAACTGCCAAATTATTTACAGTGTCAATTGATTCCTGTGAACAATATCCATGATTGAGCAACACGAACGGCATGCAATATGAGTTTTTATGTAAAATCAACCTCTATATCTAGTTCGATGAAATCTGTCTTTTTCAAAGGTATTGTTGAATTCAATCTTTTTCCTTGTGAAATCAAAGAATCTTCGCCCATTGAATTGTAAAAAACAAAATTGAAAGAATATGTGACAAATTGGATATTATATATATAGTGGTATGGGTTTCTTAGTATATTATTTTATTTATATATACAGGGTGTTCCAAATTGAGTCGGCACCATTGTCAACTCTGTTATTATTGATGCTACGAATTCAGTGCAAACTAGTGCAAACACTAGTGCACTATAAGTGCAAACACTAGGTTCTAGTGCAAACACTAGGTCCTAGTGTTTGCACTTATATTGCACTAGAACCTAGTGTTTGCACTTATAAGGAGAAATCTTATGTTTCTTCAGAAATCATTGAATAAGAGACGGTGGAAAAGCTATTTACCCCAAAGTAGGCTAAAACATCAATTTCTGTACCTTCAGATATTATTAAGGTTTTTCGTTTCTCCTCTTCTCAAAAACTTTTTCATTGTTCCTGAATCGATGATGAAGCACAGCAAAAACACGTCGATTAGGTAATTCACGATCGGAGAACGAATTGCTGTAGTGTTGGAGTGCTCTTATGTTATTTTTCTGTCAAACCAAGTAGGATTCTAACATATCATTTTTTTTGATGGGTAAACGGCATTTCTAAAAATATTCGAACAGTAGTTGACAGTGTCAATAATTAATGACATTGTCATGATATACTTGTGAATATTTGACAAATAGTATTTCAACAAAGTTTTGAGGCAACTTTATTACTCGTAATATCAAATTAAACACATTTTTTTCCAACCGCATTAATATGTCGCTCCAGTATTTTAGATTCTGTACAAAAACGGCTTCAATATTATCATTATAGAAGACATATTTTGATTTATAAAATAAATACGGATAGTGGAATAGCTTTATGATCTATTTGGTTAATACCAAATAGATCAGTGGTGTCAAGTGAGTGGTACGACATGATGATCACGAGTACCAAAATTGGGTGTTTGGACAATCATGAGGTTTTATTTCCCAAAACAAAGAAATTTTTTCTACTAGTGACATAAATAAATATTTTCACATAGGTGTAGTAATTGTATAGTAATATATGAGATCTGTCACAGCCATCCATTGCAATTCCTTCAGCATTGCTTTGATTGGTGTCTCTCTTGGTTTTCTTAATATGATCCTCATGGCTCGGTTTTGCTGTTTTTGTAATCTATCCATTTCATTTTTATTGGCAGTATATATTATCGATGCACAAAATGTAAAATGTGGTAATATAAGTGTGTTATATATTATAATTTTTGTAGATTTTGTAAGTGTTGACGAAATCCTTCCTAGAAAGCTAACATTTCTTGAGATAGTTTTTATTACCTCTTGTACGTGTTCTTTGAATGTTAAGCCTCTATCAATTAAGACTCCAAGATATTTCGTCGCACTAACGGTTTCTATTTCTATATTATCAATATGGATATTTAAATGTCTGCTTTCAAGTTCATGATATCCCGTTTTATTAGTAAATAACATGAATTTTGATTTATTACCATTTAATTTCAATACATTATAACTACACCACCGACTTATTTTTTGTAGTTCACTATTCATTGTATCTATCAAATGTTCCACATCATGTGCACAGTAATATACAAGTGTGTCATCAGCAAAGAGATGAATTTTACACTTGTCTACCTCATTAACAATATCATTTATATATATTAGGAATAAGAGTGGTCCTAGTGTACTGCCCTGAGGTACTCCGTTGTTATTGACAATTTCACAGGACGTTACATTATTAAGTTTTGTTACTTGTCTTCTACTATTTAGGTAATCTTCAAACCATTTATAGACTGTACCGGATATTCCATAATTTCTCAATTTAAGCAGGAGTCTTTTCCTATTTACTGTCTCAAAGGCTCTTTTCAAATCTAAGTAAACTGCTCCTACATTCATATTTTGATCTGTCCACATTTTCCAGTCAAATAAAACACTTTGGACCGCTGTTTCGCAATTATGCCCAGTTCT